GAAGGAAGGAAAAGGAAAGGAAAGGAAAGGAAAGAAAGGAAAGAAAGAGACAACTGTGACCACCAAGGTGGGGAAGAGAGATCGTAAGATGCATGTCTTGGGACACAGCGGGGTATGGGAGCCCAGTAAGGAGGTGGCAGTCCCTTCTACGAGGGCGTCCCTTGACTGCCACCGTCGGACGTGGCATCTGTTTCCTGAGCAAGCATGATCGATTTCTCCCTGCAGCGCCTGGCGCCGGCTACCTGGCGTGTTCGCTGCCGGGGTCTGAGGCCCACCTGCCCTGCTGGGTGGCGGGGCTGGGTTTAATGCTGTTGCCGGTCCCTTGAAATTCCTGCTAATTTGCGAGCAGGGGCCCCAGGGGTTCATGTCATCCCTGGCTCTGCAGGGTCTGTGCTGGGCCCCGTGGAGAGGTCCCTTCTCCTCTGCTCCACTGCCACCGCCCCGGGGCGGGGGAGGGGTGGAATCCATCCAGACGGGGAACGGGAACGCCTAGCATTTTTGTCCAGACGAGTGAGCGAGTGAAGGTCGCTGGAGACGGCCCGGCGCCAGCTGGTGTGACTCGTGGCCCAGAGGACAGAGTGGCCGGGCCGGGGTTCACCCACGCTGTGCTCTCCTTGTGCCGAGAGCAGGGGCGTCTGCAGTGGTCATTGCGCTGTCATGTCCGCAGGCTCGGGGACAGCCATCAGCTGGGGTTCAGGGGCTTGGGGCGGGCAGGTTAGCAGCCTGTGGCTGTGAAGGCAGAGAGTGAGAAACCGTCTTAAAAACGGTCCATGTGACACAGACGTCCGTAGCAGCAGATTCCCAGTCTCGAGAAAGTGTGGACAGCCCCGTGTCCATCAATTGGGGAGCGGACAGGAATGACGCGGCCCCTCCACACACTGGAACACCACTCAGCCATGAGGAGGGACGAGGCTCTGACACAGGCCACAGCGTGGAGGGACCCTGAGGACGTCGTGCTCAGTGAGAGACGCCAGACACAGAAGGACACACAGTGTGAGACTCCGTTTATATGAAACGTCCAGAACAGGCAGGGCCACAGAGCCGGGACGTGGATTCGTGGTCGCCAGGGGCTGGGGGAGGAGGGTGGGCCTGACTGCTGACGGGGACGGGGATTCCTTTTGGGATGATAGAATGTTCTGGTACGAGAGGTGCTAGTTGCCCAGTTTTGCAAATGTAACTAAAACCACTGAACTGTACGCTTTAAAGGTGTGGACTGTGCGGCGTGGCTCTGCCTCTTGGGAAGCCTGTCTGAGAAACAGCGCTCCCCAGCGCTGGGTCTGCGCACCGAGCGTGTGGCCCTGTCTCGGTTTCCTGGCTTTGATAATGTCCCCTTGTCGTGTAAAGTGTCACCATCAGGGCAGCTGGATGAAAAGCACACGGGACCCCTCCGTACTATTTTTGAAACCTCCGTGAGTTTGTTTTGTTTTGTCTTGAAACAGATTCTTGTTCTGTTGCCCGGGCTAGAGTGCCGTGGCGTCAGCCTCGCTCACAGCAACCTCACACTCCTGGGCTCAAGCGATCCTCCTGCCTCAGCCTCCCGAGTAGCTAGGCATGTACAGACATGTGCCACCATGCCCGGCTAATTTTTTCTATATAATTTTAGTTGGCCAATTAATTTCTTTCTATTTTTAGTAGAGACGGGGTCTCGCTCTTGCTCAAGCTGGTCTCGAACTCCTGATCTTCAGTGATCCTCCTGCCTTGGCCTCCCAGAGTGCTAGTCCCATGAGTCTTTAATCAATTCAGTAATTCAAAGTTGAAGGCCCATGGGCATAGGTAGCCCTGCAAGGTGGAGTCGGGAGTCCCAGCCTCCAGCATCTGCGTGGGCATGTGGCTCCGGCCCTTTCACCTCTCATCCCTGCCGGCCACGGAGGCCTGGGCAGCACCTGTCCTGGGTCACCGCCCTGGTCCGGCAACTCTTGGATCCCAAGGGCTTTCAGGACATTCCTGCGGCAGGGGCGCCACCTGCAGGGCGCAGCGGGGATTTCGGCTTCAGAGAAAGGGAACCAGCATTGATATATATATTTTTTAATTAGTTGCTTTATTAAACAAATTTTTCTAGTTGGAATAACCTTACGTTTCTGGAAGAGTTGCACAGAAAGCCAGAGAGTTCCCGTCTACACGCTTCCTGTTTCCCCTTAGCGTTAGTGCCTCACACAATCTCCGCCCATCTGCCACCTCTGGGAAACCCATCTAGCAGCCAGATTCCATTCTTTATCCCAGTGTCACTAGTTTCCCCCAAATGTCCTTTTCTTGGTCCCAGGACCCCATCTGGGGTCTCCTTTCCTTTCTCGGCAGTGACAGTTTTTCAGTTTTTCCTTGTTTTCCGTGACCTTGACGGTCTCGAGGGGGGAGGCCAGGTGGCCCGCACGAGCTCCCCGCCTCGGCTGTGTCTGGCGACTTCTCCCCGTTACTCGGGGTCGTGGGTTCCGGGAAGAACGTCCCAGCAGGGAGATGCTTTCCTCGTCATAGCATATGGGGGGAGCCTGCACTTGCTGAGCGCCAACTGTATGTGAAAGGCTTTGTAAAAGTGACCCTGTTTAATCTGTAGAAAGGGCTGGAGGGGCTGTGTGTGGCCTTGGCTGGGGAGAGAGACAAGAGTCCCTGCCTAGTGACTTCTGCCCCCTCTTCCACACCCACCACACTTTCAGGCCGTTTCAGTCTCAGGACAGTTTTCCACGGACAAACCTACGTTTCCTGCACCCTGGCACCAAATTTCCAGCTACCTTTACCACCTGTCCGTGATGTCATTAGGCTGCAGCCTTGGGGATCTCCAGTTTCTGTCCCCAGGGGGGCCCCATGTCCTCCCCGACTGGGTGGCTTCACACCATGTATGGGGCTAAACCAGGGGGTCTCACTGGGGACGATCCCACTCCCAGGGGCCCTTGTACAGTGTCTGGGGACATCTGTGGTTTTCACCCTGGGGAGCTCCTGGCGTGGGGTGGGTGGGGGCAGGGTGCTGCTCAGCACCTGCAGTGCCCAGGACGCCCCTTCCCAGAGAACGACCCAGGCCCAGTGTCCACAGTTCCCAGGGTGGGGGACTCTGAGTTAGCCAAACCCCCCAGCCCTGTCTACGCAGCCCTGCACTTCCAGCCTCACTGGCCAGCTGGGCACACGGCTGGGAGATGGTGTCACGCCGTTTGCCACGTCCTCCTCTCTTCTCAAAGTCTCGCCCGTCCCGTGAGGCACAGTGAGGACCCTGCAGCCGGGTCACCCTCAAGTCCCCCGATGGCCACATTGCCCCCCTGAATCTTCTCTGTTAATACCTGGGGCCATGGTTTGGCTTCCTGGCCTGTGACTTTGAGCACCGCTTTGGGCCGGCTGGGGGTCCACTACGGCCCCAGCGTCATGCCTTGCTGAGCATGCGTCCTTATGTTAGCCAGTGTATTGGTAAACAGGAGAGACCAGTTCCGGGCTATGTGAGTGTGTGGCATTGAAAACTCTCCAGTCTCTTAGAGCTCTCAAAGGGGCTTTTGGTATGGGAGGGTGAAGAGACATGACCACATATGTCCACAAAAAAGATTTGCATGCAAATGTTCATAGCAGCGTGATTTGTAGTTGAAAAAAGTGGGGATAACTGCAGGCCCCTCAACAGGTGAGCGATGGGTCAGCAAAGTGTGCTCCATCCGCACGGTGGAATATTACTGGACCGTGAAAAAGGATGGAGCTCCAATACAGGCTAGAGCAGGAGTACGTGTGGAGAGCATTGTTTGTCTGTGGCACCTTTTCTGTGGGCTGTCCCGGCTCCAGGGTGGGGTGTGTCTCGGCGTGGCCTACAGGTGACCTCCCTGTCCAGGTACCTGACCAGGAAAGGCAGGTGTGACCTTGGTTCAGCGGGGGTCTCTTGGTTGACTTCTCTAGTTCAGGGTCAAGTGCGCTGAGCTGGCCCCTGGCCTGCAGGGATCCGGGGTGGTGCAGGTGACAGATCCAACTTTGCCTAGTGGAGCCAAATGGCCCCTCAGCAAGGGCCAGGCCAGGAGGGTTGGGGCCCTGGACGTGGGGTGTCCAGTCTGAGAGATGAGGCTTCACCATGCTGACTGGCCAGAGGTCCCCAAGGCCACCCCCAGGTGCAGTCACTCAGCGTGTGGTTGTCCCTGCGGCCGTGGTTCATGACAGCAAAAGGGCACGGCAGAGTCAGCAAAGGGGAAGGTCGTGCAGGGTGCGTGAGGGAGGCCAGGCTCAGCTTCCAGAACCCTCTCCCTGGGGAGTCACCCAGGACATGCTCTGCCCCCAGCGTGGAGCAGTGATGACACGTAAGGAGTGTTGTCCCCAGTGAAGTTGGCAGAGACTCCAAGCTGGGTGTCCGTGGGGGCTGGTCACACCGGCCCCCTGCCTGGCCTGTGCTGAGATTCCAGAGCCCAGAGGAAACCTGGGGTCGGACCCAGACCTCAGTGTTTGCAGGAGCCGTTCCGGCCCAGCCGCCCCTGCAGTCCGCGGGGTGGGGCCGTCCAGGCCTGCGCTGCGGCTCTGTCCTGCTCGGAGACTGACTGTCCCAGTTCAGCTGGGACGGGGGAGTTTCCGGGACTCAGGACTTTCACGCTAACTCTGGGGACATCCCGGGCAGACCCGGATGAGTCGGCCACCCGTGGGCAGCAGGGACAGGGCACTGACTCAGCTTCCTCCACCTCTTCCTCTCAGGGGGACCACAGGAGCTCAAAAGACACAGATAAACATCTTTTATAAACTATCGAATGTCATGTAAACATCGATCCTTGTTTCAATTCGGGTTTTAAACACCTGGAAAACGTATTAGGAGCAACGTGGTGAATCTCCAGTCAATGTCTTGCCTTCTTGAACGGAACCTCTCTGGGGTCACCTCCGCACTGTCCCCATAGTTTGGCTGGAAACGGAAAGGCAGGACCCCACAAAATGACCTCTACCATGTCTGGTCACGGGCAGGGGACTGTCCTTCGATGTTGACCCTGACCAACACCCGCCTGGCCACACCGGCCTAAAATGCTGTGTTGTTTATCTGTGTTCTTTATCTGTCTATCTTCTTCCAGGGGGCGAAGCTTGGACTCCGAGCCTCTCGGCGCTGGGGACAGCAGGCCTTGGGCACAGGTGGGTGCACGATGTTTCCCTTTGTCCCACGTTCACAGTTGAAGCTGGCGTTCGGTTGGCTCTCTGGGACGTGGGGCTGCCATCGGGGCGAACGCGTTGGCCTTGACGGCTGCGTGTCGGCCACTTGTCCGCCAAGGGTGCATTTCTCGCCCTCGAAGCAGGGTGTGTGGCACTGGTCAGGCGCACGGCTGTGTCCCCGCCTGTCCGGGGTCTCCCGTCCTAGGGGGCTTCGCAGAAGGAGGCTTCAGCCCTCACCCCCGATCACATGGTGCAGGTGGACGGTCCCCGCCCAGTGCGGAGCTGAGTCCCTGGACACCGTTTGCGTCTGAAACGCGCCATCCGCCCTCTAGTGACCAATGGGGTCTTAGTCTGTCACGTTGCTGTAAGGAATGCCCCCGGCCGGGTGACGCATAAAAACGGGTTATTTGGTTCGTGGTTCTGCAGGCTGTGCACGGAGTCGCTGCCTCTGTCCCCGGGGAGAGCCCGGGGAGCAGGGGTGCGGCGGGGGCGGGGCGAGGAGGTGCTGGGCTCTTTTATTCTTTTTATTTTTTGTGAATCGGCTCTCTCGGGAACTAATAGAGCAAAGACCCAATCATTACCTCGAGGACGGCACCACGCCACTTCCTCCTTCCAGCGGGAAGATTCCTTTGAACAAGTTAGGAGCAGAGCTATCACTCCGATGTTGGTCCCTTAACTGTCCTCTGGTTGCTTCTGAAGGTTTTTTTTTTTTTTTTTTTTTTTTTTTTTTAGTCTATATTCTTCGCTGAAGTAGGCCTTGGTATTGAGATCATGATTGTTTGCATTGTGAATACCATGCATTGTCTACTTGTCAAGTTGTGTTTGTTGTTGTTTTTGAGTTTTTTTTGTTTGTTTGTTTTTTTTTTTTTTTTT